CAGGAGCTTCCTGCTTGCTCTTAAGAAGGGACTGGAGACTCTGCTGAGGGTGCAGCCTCCCTGGCTTCTCAGAGAGGGAGTTTGTGGTAGATTCAATTTTGGGGCATGCCCCCTCTGCTCTGCCTCCCAAGACTTGTTCCAAGATTGCATGGCTCTAGACACTATTCATGGGCCCAGTCTTCAAGTATATTGGGATGTGGAAGGTGTACAGTTGGTTGACAGGGTGCTCCTCCTTCCCCTTGGAGCTCTTCCCTAGTCTAGCTTTCTTCTGGGACAGTACTGTTCTCAAAGCAGGGTTTGTAGTCCAGAGCCACCCTGGCATGTCCTTGTTTGCTTGCTTTGTCTCCTTACTTCTTGCCAAGTGTCAAAGATCTTTCTCCAGAAGAGAAAATGTCACAATCACTCCCGATGACCTCAAACACCGTTTCTTTTCATAACATGTCAAGAATGAATAGTGAGCGGAATAAATAGCACTGGCCCAACACCTTCGGGTAGGAAAAAAAATCAGGACATAAGCAAGTAAAATTTTTAACAAGAACAGCCTGGTGCTGTGGGAATAAACTTGGATGCTTTAAGATTCTGATGATTTTGAATGAAGGTTGCACACACATAAAACAAAAAAACAGAAAAGTCACCTGACTATATGTAACCAGCTGGTGAACCTGACGTGACCTTTGTCATGGGCTTAAGCCCAGGGCTCTTCATCAAGAACTGCTCTGGAATATGAAGAGAAAGTGATCAAACAGGTTTGACCAAGACTGCAGGATCAGGATGCATTTCATTGACTGTGCTGAGGAAACTGAGACTGCAGAGACAGAAAGGAAGGGCAGCAACTAACAAAATCGAACGAAGGGCAAACATAGACTCCCCGTCCTGCCTTCTTTACTCCCTCTAGCTGGCTGAGAACATCCAGTGTGCACTCGGGTGAGGCACCAAGGACGACGCCAGGGCACGAGTGCAGAGGCTGTGACTTAGACGTCGCCCTTGGAAACAGTTTGCCAAGAGCACTTTGGGCCCTGGGAAGGAAGTACAGGGAGGGAGGGGCAGGGTCTGGCAGGACCTTACATTTGAGCTGGGAAGGCCAGTCCCTACAGGAGCAATCCTGGGGAGGGCACTGCTTGATGACTATGCTGTAATGTGGGTAGATCCCATGGCTGAGAGACTGTAGTCTATGAACTGTGACTCCTCCTTTGTCACTAGGGATCAGCTCCTGGCTGTGGGTTTGGAAAACCATGTTCCAGTGTGTGGTATGTGCAACTGACATCAAGACGTCTCCCGTCTTCAGAAGCCACATGGAAGAAGTCAGGCACTGGCCAGACGTGTGCCACCCAGAGAAGCTTTCTAACAGGTCCTTCACTAACCTGGAATCCAGTCTAGAAATGAAAAGTAAACGCTTTCCTTTGTGTTGGTTTTAGCTCTTCCTTAGCAGGTTATCTGGAGTAACGCGAGAAGTAGAAGAAAACTGAGGATGTGGTTCTGACCCGAGGAGGGCCGGGATGCTCATGATTGTCCTGGTGGTACCTCGTCTTTTCATGATGGTGAAAGTCATGTTGAAGTTAGGTCATTTAAGAACGAATTATATTAAAAGCTATTGCAAGTGCAGGCCACAGAAGAAGAAATGGTTCTTTGTTGCGACATGGAGGATCAGCTTATTTAACTCTGGGAACGGTCTTTGTAGGCACACTCCTGTGCTTCAGACTCTGGCCCTCCTTAGCCATCCCTGGTCAGTCTCTCATCTAGCACAGCTTGGTCCCAAACACAGGAAGAGCAACCAGAAACCTGACCTGGGCAAGGGATGGCTCTGCAAAGGAGCAGGCCATTGCCTCTAGCTCCCTTCTCAGGGAGAAGAGCTCTAGGACCTCCCACTTCATTGATTTTACAAACCAAGGATCCAAGAGAAACAGGAGTTTCCTAGCCTATCCCTGAGGATAGTGGTGCCCTGCGTTTTCCAGCTGGCAAACAGCAGGCACTCGTTCTGACCCCTAAATCCCATGCGCCAATCTTTCACCAACTATCCTCTCCCAGGGAAGCCCAGAAGCCAAGCTTGGTAACAGAGGCGAGCTTATTATACACTTCTTTAATTCCCACTTAAAAGATATTAGGACAAAGCCTGCTCCTTCCTGTTGGGCTGGAAGTGGCCTATCCTCAACAGAAGTAAGGCGGGAAGTGTTGATGGCCACTACCTCACTTATTCCTGGAGTTTCCACAGCCAGTAGGGGCCTTGCCTCCCCATCAGTGGGCAGTGTGGCCTCGGCCAGAGCCCCAGCACAGACACAGACTCCCCAGGAGATTGACAGGCCTACCCCGGGCAGCTCCTCTGTCCTTTATCTCCAGCTACGAAAGCGGTGCCAGGTTTTCTCATCAGCCACAGCCATGTCTCCAAATGGCTCTTCAGTGTCAGGCCCATCAGGAAATTAACTCATCAAGCTGTGACAGCTGCTAATTTTCCCCCTTCCATGTCAGATGGATCGCCCGCTGCAGCTAATCATGAATCACCCATCCCTGATTAGAAGGTGCTTCCGAAACATATAACTGCCACCCCGGCTAACTTCTTCTCCGTGTAAAATGATATCACCCTGGAGGAGTACAAAACGGATTGTGTTCTGCAAGGTGATGGCCCAGGAGCAGGCTGCTCAGGTTAGCTTGGGCCCTCTTACATTAATGGGCTAAGATACAGTCAGGGGAGTGACGGGCACTGTTCTCTGGTGCTAACCCAATGGCCTTTCCTCTTCCTAGGACTCACCCGGGGCTGAGTCTAGGTTGGCTCCTCAATCCTCTGCTTAAGCCTGCCTGCCTTCTGCCTTTCCCTCCTTCCCTCCCTCCCTCCCCTCCCCTCCAGGAAACAGATGTAACACAGCTGGGACACAGAGATGTTTGTGTGGTGGGATTCTCCTAGTAGGAAGAGGGGTCAGGAAGAGGGGCTACTGGAGCTCGAGTCTTGGCTGTGCTCTAGGTGGAGAACCCTAATGTGGACTAAGGCCTCACCCTCCACCTTCTAGGACTCTGACAGTTTCTTTGCTTGAGGAAACCTTGTCTTATGTACCTATGGTCATTTGAGGGCCACGTTTTAAAAATAGCCCTCAGAGAGAAGCTGTTGACTGGTCAGGATTCCCACTGAAGGTATCTGCTAAAGTGGTGTGGCCAGGCTCCCCACAAATAGGATCTGGTGGGCCTGGGAATCCAGCTGGGCTCTTCATCCTCCGTCCACCTAAGGCCCCAAGCGTTAACCCTGTTCGGTCAGCTTGGCCTGATCCCCATGTTAGATCTTTCTTTTTAGAAGGGTTTCTCTGTCATGATCAACCCAGCTCTCACTAGCTCTGGAGCTCAGTTCGATCCCGAGATCCCTTTTCTCTTACTGGAAGTATCTGGGGCCATCTGTGACTACTGTCTGGCTCTGGCTTTCACACACTTTCAGCTGGGAGGTGACAGGGATTCCCAAAGCTATTGGGCCCAGTCTTAGCGCATGTACTTGTCCTTCACGGGAAACCAATATACGAAAGCCTCACTCTCTGCAGCAAGCTGTCTGGTTTACTTGGTTGCAAGGGTGTTCAGCAGTGGCCACCACTGCATCTCGGCTCTCACTGAGTGTGTGGGTCAAGTGACACCATCACACTAAATGACCCTGGATGACAGGAAGTAGTATGTCTAGAGATGGCCACCTTACTTTGTGACCCCTCCAAACTACCAACATTAAACAACTTTCAGCATGGAAGCTGAAGTCTAAACCATATCTGTAGTCTGATGTGGAAATCAGTCTTCCTGGCAGAGATCCTGGAGGCTGGATCTCTCAATTGGCAATAGATTAATATAAACAGTCTTCAGGGGTTTACAGCCTCTACGTAAAAATGTCACTGGCTGGGCCTTTTCTTCTTTAAAATGGTCCCATTTTCCTTGACCAAGCCCTAAGGAAAGCTGTGAGCTCGCTGTGTTGTCTTACAGACAATCCATGCTGCCAGAAGTGTCCTCTGCTCACACACCTTGCCACGCCTCATTATTCCGAGCACACATTTGTGTCTGTGCTCCTGCAACTCCCTTACATCCCAATAGTTGTGCAATGAGAGAGAAAAGAGAGGTAACATTAACCTGGCTCTATAGGTAATTACAGGATACACTAGCTTGGAGAAGCCTTTGCAATCCTCAGCTGCAGAATACCTTCTGTACAATTTTTTTTTATGCAAAGACCTGCTCTTTTCATCGCGCGTACAACGTGATTGCTGGTTTGACACTGCAGGCTACACTGGTTTTATGAAGGATTAAATGCCACCTGAGACATATTTATCCTAAATAAATCACACACGGTAAACTACAGCATGTCAGTGTCAACGCCCTGGACGGCAGTGGAAAGGTTAGCCATACAGGGCTCGGCAAAGGCAGGAATTAGCATTGAGCCTCAGGACCGCAGGGCCGCGTGCCAACGGGGGAGGCGATCAAGAAGAAAGATCTCCACTGGAAAACACCCCGCCCCCTTTTGTAACATGTATGAGGAGCCTGGAGAGGCCATCACTTTGTAAAGGTCACCTCTATCCTGCTAACAAACAGGAGTTGATCCTGTCACTGTTTGGCAAAGACATTGTTTAAGCGGAGTTGAGGAGCCCTGCCATTTTTAGGAAGCAGGAGTAGTCACACTTGGCTAATTACGAGCCAGACTCAAAGCTTAAGTTTTACCTTTCCTTATTACTTTGCCTGGAGGGTGGCTGCGTGTGGGCAGCTGGCTTGGGAATGGACACAACTCAAGGCGAAGAAACCAGGAGGCGGGAGGCCAGGCCCTGGGGGTACGCTCTCTTGTGGCCTTAGGAGGGATTTAAATGACTCTTGTACTGACAGAGAGCCTGGCTTCCTGTCCCTGACCCTGGTAGACTGTGTCATGGCACTGGCTGAGGAGCAGTCTGCTATATACGAACTGCTTACAACAGAGATGAAGGAATTGCCTTGGCGGGCTGGCCAGCATGGCCGCTGCAGGCGTGGCCTTGACTCAGAGAACATCATCACCTTTAGTTTAATGCTATAATTTTATTTCAAAGAAAACAACAAAAACAATTTTGCCTCTGAGGAAAGGGGTTATTTTACAAATTTGAAAAAAAAAATAAAAAGCATTGGAATCAAGAAATTAGCGGAACACAACCCTGCACCCAGCACTTACAGTGAATCTACCAGGAAGCAGGAGGGAGGGGGCAGAGGGTGGGCGTTGACCGTAATGTTTGCCATCAGCCTTCCTGCTCTCAGAAAGTCACAAATAAATCCTGGAAAAAATGGTACTGATACAAACAAATATTTGTTATAAAAAGCAATGAGCAGTATTTTCCACAGTAGACATTTCATGTACAGATGTTATGATATGGAATTCAGGATGAGAATCAATTATCTTAACCAAGGTGGATTTTAACTCAATAAAAATTTCAAGACTTTTCAAACCACAAATGAAAGATTTCTCTTGTGCAGAATGACCATGGCAAAGGAAACACCTAACATGTTTGCAGGGAGGAAATTTATACAGAAAATGAACTAACAGGCTTCCTTTGGTCTGGGAACACCAGTATCTTAAACTTAATAGCTCCGATTTTTAACCGGAGGTGGGGGGAGATGACAGAGCTGCAGGGCAGCGGCAGAGGTGCGGATGAGGCGAGAGGCATTTCCTGTTCCCATCAGCGGACACCGTCTTCTGTCTTCTGATGACTTAAAAGGGAACAAGTATGGAAGTAAAACCAGGGGAAACTGCTTCTCACCACAGTGGTGCTGGAGGGGCAGGGCCATGAGCAGAGGGCCTGAGACCAGCTCTACGGCACAGGGTTCATCCTGCCTACCGACTCTTCTTAGGTTGCTGGGCTACCTAGGTGTAGGCGTGGTTCTGTGCTCCCCTGCTGAAGGCCTGCTCAGCACACCTCCAAAGCAAGGGAGCAAGCCTCACAAGCAAAGCTGGGCGGCCTCTACGCCGGCCCGAGCAGGTCTTTGCACACTGCCCTGCACCTAGCATGGAGGCCTGCCTCATGCTTCTTGGAGCTCACTGTTTTCTCTTTGGCTCTGGATCACTGTGGCTGCTGGGGAGCCATCCTGGGTATAGATGACCATGCTGGTCAACTGTTCCGTGCTGCTTGCGCCCACAGCCTCAGCACCGAGGGCAGCCCCCGCCTGCAGGATCTCTGGAGCGCTGGCTGTCTCTATCAGCGTGTGGGAGTAAACCCCTGTGTCCTCCTGCACCCCCGGAGGCAACTCTGTTACAATGTAGTGGGTGGCTCCCTCAGGGAAGCTGCTGCTGGATTCCCGGACCATGGCTTGGACCAGCTCTTCAGTCACAATGATCTGTGAGATCTCCCCTTCTGACTCTACCAGGTCCACATGCTCAGCTGGCACCCGTAAGCCATGGGTCTCAGCATCCTGCATGATGAACTGGGAGCCTTCTGCAGCCACCATGTGGACAGCGCCCTCCTCGTTCACGATGACCTGGGTCACGCCATCCTTCATCAGCTGGCTGGCGGCACCTGTGTCACACACAGCAAACTGGAGGACTCCCTGAACCATTTTCTTGAAGGCCACCTGGGCTCGTTCCTGAGACGTGATGATGGCCGAGGGCCGGACAACCTGCGTCAGTACTTCCATGGCCGCTGGGCTCTCTTGACCATCCTGGAACAGCGGAGTCTCTGCAGCCTCTGTGTCGGCATGAGCATGGGCTGGTTCTTGGCTGGGCAGCTGGATCAGCACGTCCTTGTGGCCAGGCCTGCCCTTTCCCTCATGCCCTGCTCTGTGCTCCACCTCTCCCAACTCAGTGACAGCGCACAGCAGTGCATCTAAGGCTGAGGAGGTGTCTGCTGGAGGGACCGCAGCCTCAGAGACACTCAGCATCTCCTGCTTGGTGACCTGCTGTATCACAGCTCCACCTGGACTGAGGTCCTCATCCACACTGGGACTCTCCACAGAACCCCCCATGACAACCACCTGGGTGGCTCCATCAGCCAGCTGCTCTGGGAGGATAGGCCCAGGTACCACACTGCCCACGTGAGACCCATTCTGACTCGTGGCAATGACCTGCCCGTGTTCTGTGATGTGGACCACCCTGGCCACCTGGCCCGCCATGGCCAGGGTCTGCAGTGTGGCCGCAGCTGTCTCCTCCACAGAGGCGTCCAGGGCGAACTCCCCATCATAGCCCTGGATGATGATGACCTGCTGGACCTGCTCTGGCGGGGACGCCTGCCTCTTGCTGCCTCTCAGGGACTTCTCCTTGACAGGTGATTCCTCCACCAGGGTGGCTGCAGTGAAGGGGCTGTCCGTCTCCACAAAGGTGGCTCCTTGTCCTTTCAGGCGGCACTCGTAGGACTTGGACACAATGCCTGTAGGAGACAGGGACCAGTTAGAATGTGGAAAGAGGACTTCAGGGTTCCAGTTAGACAGCTCTTCTGCAGCTGCCCTGAAGCCTCAGTGAAGCAAGTGCGGCCCTCCCTGCAGAGGCCAGGGGCTCCCCACTAGAAGCAGCAGGTGGCTGCTCATCATGGGCCCTGTAAGGGGTGTTGTGAGACACACTCGTTCCATACTCATGTGACACGTGTGCAAGCCCCAATTCTCTGCAGCAGTGTGCAGGGTCCGGGGTGGAATGCAGACAGCCTCTTCAGGATGGTGGTTAATACTGTCAACCCAACAGCGTCTGGAATTAGCTAGACCTGGGCCTCTAGACCCGCCTCTGACTATGTGAATGAGGCTCGCCTCTGAGTATGTCCGCGAGGGATTATTAGCTGAGGTGGAAGACCCAGCTTAGGGGTAGAGGGCGCCACCCATGGGCTGGAGGCCTGGGCTGGATGAAAAGGAGAACGGGAACTGAGCACCGAATACACTGCTTGGCTTCTAACTGCGGTTGCGGTGCCTGGGGGCTGCAAACCCTGCCACCGTGGACTGTATCTCTTTTCAGTGGCTTCAGACACTGTCACAGCGGCGAGAAAATTGCTACATATGCTTCCTCTCACCTCCAACAGCAAAGACAATGAGAGGAACCAGCCGGGAACCAGCAGTAGGCTCTTTTAATCCAAAGGAAAACCTGTTCTTAACGTCAAACTATCAAGTACTTGTTACTATCAAGTATTTGTTTAATTGATAAGGATAATAAAAGTTTTACACATTAAATTTTAAAAGTGTCACTAATAAATGCACCTGTAAGAGTGCACAGAAACAAATATTTACTAAAGCAAAGTTAGAAGCAGCTCAGGGTGGCTCTGCAGAGCAGTATGGGCTGGCAGTGTGTCAGTCCACGGCACAGAAATACAAACAAAAGGCCTGGGCACTTGGAGTCTGGAAGATCTCTGCGAGCAGGCCTGAAGGGCAGGCTTTGGGGCCCAGGGAACAGCCCATCCCAGCCGTACAGTTCAGGCGCCCTATTGGAAAAGGAGACATACAGACATCAAAGCTGTGCCTGCTGACACACCCACGGTGGCTCAACACTGTGGAAGGGGACAAGCAAAGCTGAAGAGACGCAGAAACCACACACTCAGGCTGCAGGACGGTACTGAGGGGAAGGAGCTGCTAAAGAGCCATGACCTGGCCCACAGAGCAAGGCGAGGACAGAGTGGTCCAGGGGATGAGAGCAGAGGCTGTGGCATCCTCACACACCCCACCTAGGGCACCTGTGCAGAGAAAGCTGCTGACTTCTTTACTGTGACAAAGGGACAACAGTGCAGGCTTTCCCATGCCAACCCAAAGTTCCTTTCAGTGAGAGCACCGTGATTGCAAAGACAGGCCGACCCTTGAGAGGGCTGCTCTGCTTTGGGGGATGAGGAGAGAACAGGAAGGAACCATGGGGAGAGGCTCCGGGGGAAGCCTGGCATTCACCTGGCCTGGGGCTATTAGCAGGCAGACAGGAGGGGCTGCTTCTGCCCTGCCATGCACCCAGCCATTCTGTTTCCAGCCCAGCCACCATCCCATGGGTGAGCTGCTTGCCCAGGAAGTTGGGGTGGATGAGCCCTGACAGGACTGGCCTGTCTTAGGAGAGAAACCTTTGAGCACAGATGGGAGGAAAAAGAGGCCAGAGAGATGGGTGGATGTAGGGGCCTGCAGCCAGGATGGATGTGGGGGGCCCACTTCATAACCGCATCGAAGAGTCTTTCTCAACAGGGTGAGAAAGGATGGAAACTGTATGCCTCATTTTGATCAAGTAGAGAATGATTCTAATTAGAGTTCTTGTTTTCTTCAGATCCTAGCTTTTCTATCAATTTAAAAGTGTTTTATTGTCACCACCTCTCTCCTCGCATCTGCAGTTCAGACACATCTTACACTCTCATTGACATGTTCTGTTGTTGTTGTTGTTGTTTTAAAACTATGTGCTATATCCTTACCAAGAGGGTAAGGGGTTACTAAGAATTATAGTTCACTATTTATTGCTGGCGTCCAATAAAGACAGCAGTTTTGCTAACCATTGGTCTGGGTGCAGGCTCCAGACAGGGCCTTTGGGTTCTGACTGCTAAGAGGACACACCAGGCCGATTTTCAGACTACAGGACAATTGTCCTAGACCTGGAATTATTTGCTGGTTCCTAATGCTATTTTTGCCTTTGTTAGGAAACTCTCTATGCTGTGGACCTAAGAAGAGTTATGAAGTCATGAAATCTTAGCTCAGGAAAAGACAAGCACCAACCTGACCAGCTCCACTCCCAGGAGCTCCTTCATGCTCACTGCTGACTATGGGATGCACGGTAGGGATACTGGTCAGCCTGGTGCAGTAGGGAACGCCAGGAGATGGACCTCAGTATCCCCCATGGTTCTCCATGCCTGTGAGCCTTGTCAAAGGACAGCACACCTGCAGTGTACTCACCCTTCTTCTCTCACTCACTCCCCGTGGGGATGGAGCACCAGCTGGAGCACTAACTAGGGCAGGCCGTGATCTGACCTGCCTCCACTGGCATACACTTTGCAGAGTAGCTGCAGGCCCGCAGGCCCAGCTAGTGCCCTGGGTTTTCACCTTGGGATCTGGAATACCTCCTACAGGACCCTGAAGGGCGCTGCTCAGCAACCTGCTTGTGGCTGTGAGGTCCTATTGCCACCTTGTCTTCTTACTTTTCAGAAAAGCAAAGCTCTCATTTGCTGGGACACAGGGATCTGGATAGTAAGTGTGAGGGTGGAAAAGCCTAAGCACCCCGGGAGAACCGGCTCAATCAGGCATGCAGGGCTCCACCTACCCCATCAGACTGAGGAGTGCCATGCATCTGTGCCTGGGTCTGGGTTGGCCCGGCTCCTGATCAGCCTGTCTGTCATCCACTGGGTCATCCCGTCCTCATCTGGGTCTGTCAGGTTCTCTTTTGGTATGCATGCAATTTCCTAACCGAGCTCTAACTTTTCGGCTCAGGATGTGGTATTTTGCTTGCCTTCCTAAATTGTGATTTTGATTTGTTTTTGCTCATTTTAATTTCAAGGTCACACACAGTGTAATTCAGAGGGAAAGCAGGGAGTGACAAAGAGAATGTTGCACTCAACTTGCCTTGCCCCAGTGATTACCAAAGAGGGAATACTGCCATTGCCGAGACAACCAGGAGAAACCAAGCTGGGGGAATAAGCAACAGCCTGTTCTCAGGCTGTGAGCAAGGTCACACTGCGCCTCAGCAAAGCCTCCTCACTGGCAACTGAAGGGAATGTCTTGGGCATAGAGCAATCCTCTACATTCCTCGCAGCACTGATAATCACCAATTCTGAACTACTTGCTCAGCTTATTTGAATCCAGAAACGGGTTACGCTCCTTCCAGACCATTAAAGTAAACTGCGTGGGTAAATACTGCTGTCAGTTGGGTCTGTGATGAAGCTTAAGCCACCAACATCTTAACCTCCGGCAGCATGGCCCCCGGCTAGTCCATCATAGTTCATAAATGTGAGCGCAAGTCCGTCTTTTGATTCAGCAATTTAATAACTTCGAGTGCTGTCAGTACTGCTTTGAAAAATAGCACCTATAAAATGTAACAGCCTCAATCAGATTGAAAAAGATTCACCCATCGAAGACTCTTCCATTTCAACCATAATGAATTAATGTGGAGCGATGCAGTTCAGGTGTCGTTTACACGAATGGGAATCTCTACCGTAATTTCAGGTTCAACTGGGCTATGACCAAGAATGCACTGGGCACACATGCTCTTCCTAGTGAACATGGACGGTGAAACTGGCCAGCGCGACGGCCTCAGGAGTGGCCCTGGTGGACAGGGCACTGTTCGGGCTTTATCCTAGATGGCCTAGTTACTGCTGGAGCTCCAGCAAGATCAAAGATCTGTAACAGCCTGGGCATGGCCAGCCAGCATTGGTTTTAAAAGACACTGCCGACTTTCAGAGGGACGACAGTATCGGAGCGCCTACACTTAGTCCTTGGGCTTGTTCTCACGGGAGACATAGTCGCGCAGAGGTTGGGAGTGGAGCTAGAAGGCGGCCCTGTTCGTGGTTATGAGGCCGCTTTATTGCTTATTTGCTTCCATGAGTAGAGTTACCGCCCATGTCTAAATGTGTGGAAGAAGTACCAGCTCAGCTGGTAATAAAGATTAGGGCTTTTTTTTTTTTTTTTTTTTTTTTTTTTTTTGTCAGTATCTGTTTTCCAGGAAGTGTTTTGGGCTAAGCCTTGTTTCCCTAGAGTACAGCAACGAAACGGTGTGCCCTCTGGAAGACAAGGCTCCAGAGATGCAGACAATACAAGGAAGGTGGTGCCTCCCAGTCCACGCTGGGGCTGCCCCCTCTGGCCGCTCTGGGCATCAGGGGAGCTGCTATGCACCTGACCCTTCCTTTGTGTGTGATATTCCAAGCTTACTGTCATCATTTCCCCCACTGAATAAATACCTTATGCTTTTGTTAAGCTTACATTTAATTAAAATGTACAGAATTTGTGCAGTAAACTCAAATGAAACAAATAAAACAAGGGCCCCCTCTCTTGAAGGCATACGTTGTGAATGAAAAATGTCATTACAGACTAAAAAATTTTGCAGTAAACAGGGCCTACAGAGAGAAGTTTCCCCTGTAATGACATCCATAAAATACACAAATGGCACTTTTAGTGCCATCCTGAATATGGCATTTTCTGTGCTCTACACACAATCTAAATGGTTTGATCATAGAGCATAATACTCCATTGGGTTTATAGAACAATCAATGTTCCATAAAATGATGTATTTATCCAATAGTAGGCTCAGCAGTTACTGGTCTATGACATTGTAGGACACAGGCTTGGGCTCCTCTCAGCACACATGCTGGCTGTAAAACTTATCTAACACCACTTCAACAACTTCAGCTCATCTGTGGCAAGTAATTTGTGGAAGCCTCAGCTTGGCTTAAAAAAAAACTTGTAATAAAAATTCATAGAATTTTCAGGAGAATGAAGGCTG